GGAGGAATTGAGAGAAGGGACTATGAAGGTGGTCAGGAGGTTTTTCGAGCATGGAGATGCCCTTTACAAGCGGTCATATGGAGGACCACACCTACGCTGTGTCACCAAGGAAGAAGGTCGATATGTACTAAGGGAGATGCATGAGGGTTGCTCCAGCGATCACAGTAAGTCGGGGGCTTTGGTCGCAAGGATCCTAAGGGCAGGTTATTTCTGGCCGACAATGAGAGAGGATGCGAAAGGGATGGTAAAAAAGTGCTTGCAGTGCCAGAAGCACGGTCCCTTGATCCATCAACCGGCTGAAGCGATGAGAACGATGAGTGCCCCTATACCCTTCGCTCAATGGGGCGTCGATCTGGTGGGGCCAATGCCGCAGGGAACGGGACAAAGGAAATTCCTGATAGTGGCGGTCGATTATTTCACGAAATGGGTGGAGGCTGAGCCCTTGGCCAAGATCACAGAAGAGAAAGTAATCAAATTCCTATATAGCAACATTTGCTGCCGTTTTGGTGTACCCAAGGTGTTGATTTCCGACAACGGCACCCAATTCAATGGTAAGCAGATTCGAGCGTGGTGTGAAGATATGAGAATCGAGCAGCATTTCGCCTCGGTAGCTCATCCGCAAGCCAACGGCCAGGTCGAGGTAACCAATCGGATCATATTGAACGGGCTGAAAACAAAGTTGGAAAAGGCCTCGGGAGCATGGGTCGATGAGTTGAACTCTGTGTTGTGGGCGTATCGTACGACCCCGCGGTCGACCACTGGAGAGACTCCGTTCAGCTTGGCTTACGGAATGGAGGCATTACTGCCGGTCGAGATCGAGATGCCATCCCAGAGGTCGAGCACATACAATACGGAGCCATATGAAGACTTGATGATAGAGGCTTTAGACACTATTGAGGAACTACGAGGGAAGGCAGCAGTCAGGGTGGAGGCGTATAAGCAGAGGATGCGCGCGGCTCACGACAAGAAAGTGAAGATTCGCAGACTTCAAGTCAGCGATTTAGTTTGGAAACGTGTCGATGTACTCAAGCATGTGGGAAAGCTGGAGCCGAACTGGGAAGGACCATACCTGGTCGAGCGAGTGCACGCAGGAGGAGCGTACTCGCTTAAAGATGCTGAAGGCCGATCACTTGCCAGGTCATGGAACATAGCTAATCTGAAAAAATATTATGTTTGAAAATTTTTCTTTTCACATATGTTATTACTTCTGTACGACGTCTGAGAAATGTGAACAAGAATGTAAATCGCAAAATTTATCAAGAGGCAATGAAATTCAGTGACCTTTCTGGTTTTATCTATTTTATCGTACATCTTCTTATGCTGGGAATGTTGCTACAATTGAATGACAGGATGTATGTGGTATGGTTTGAGCTAGAGGTCGCTTGTTTAGAACATTCCAGGGGTGGGCAGGTTGGTCGAAGACCTCCTGTTTAGAACATTCCTCGAGGTGGGCAAGTGTGAAGACCAAAACCCACCATGAATAAGGCCCTCGGGCTGGGTGATTGCTTGTTTAGAACATTCCAGGGGTGGGCAGGTTGGTCGAAGACCTCCTGTTTAGA